CTGTGGTCAAACTTTGACCGTCCATAATTTTGGACTTGGACTTTGTTTGACTGTGAATGCCTTCAGTGCTTTTGGAAAATATTAAATAAAAAAATTCATAAATCCGAAATCTATTATTTCAATTAGAATTAAAATAAATTATTTTAATTTCGAGTGAGAGAGTCCATATATATATATATATATATATTTGTTAGTACAATGTAAGAGTCAAAACTAATAATCATTTTGAAAAGACCCTTTAGTTAAATCTTGTGTCAAACACAAAAGCCTAAGTTGATTAAGATGTGGAGCTGAAGTTCTCTTAAACCCAATAATGCAACATGGTTTATAAGCCCATAAGCATATGCCTACACCTTGAAACAAAGACTTTTGGTTTTGAGAAAATTATAAAGAAATAAATAGGGTTTTGGTTGAAAAATATGTTATAATTTAGTTAATAGATGTTATATAAACACTAAAATTCATATAATATCCCGAATCTTAATAATGGTGGGTATGAATATTAGCAAAATATTTACAACTAGTGAAACAGATAAAGATTAAATATACAACGGAACTACACTTTAATACACATCATTTGTGACTGAATAATTATTTGTTTACAAATAATTGAAGCATTTAAATTAATTTATAATATTAAAATAAGAACTAATAAAGTTTTATTCGTCATATTTCTTTGATTTTTGACTTTTATTTACCTGCATATGGATGAATTAGGGTGAACTTCACGAGCTAAGTAAGAAAAATGATTCTATAATGGAGATTTACGTACATACATTCACGCAATATGTAAAATATAATGATATTTATAATTAAAAAAATGTCAAATAAAGCATCCCAATCAAATAAATAACAAAACAAATCATCACACGAAATATGTTCTAATTCTCACTCTTTTAACCTAATTTTTGTTCTCATTTCAAGTCACACTTACACTCGAAATATCACAATCTAAGGTTTTATCGCGCGATGCCGTTTATATCGTAATCAATGAAATACGAAACAGATCATCCCATTGCATGGATAACACACACACACAAATCTCACAATGACCATAACAGGTACGTTTGCTAGGTAACCCACACTCATAAACACCTATCAACGTCTGGATTAGGTTTCAAACTCTATCTATGTGCAGGTTCACCATACCTGCTTAACTTTAGCCACACACGCACTCTCCCCTCCTTAATTTAGACTAAACGAGTATATATTCAGGGTCCTTACACTTTTCACTCTTTTCACATCTCTCTTATTCTTAATTCACTTATTTTATACCTAAGATCTTAATTTCTACGCATAAAAAAATACAAACACACACATAAAATATACAATATCATCAAGATAAGGGTCATATATTTCAATTCACTTTCTCAATCATCATGTACCAAATTACACAGTAAGCACTGGATTCTCAGATTCCTCACGCAACTGTACCAGATCACGCAGCAAGTATAATGCGTCGTACATCTGCACCAAATTACATAGTAAGTGCAGTATACCCAATTTTACACGTACACACACTGGTTGTACATTTTATATGCATAACATATGTACACACATTTTAATACACACATATATTATAATACAGATATGTACCATCATTACATATCTCACACAGAATATATATTTATATTCATACACAACCACAATCTCTACTGATATATACACACACGTTCATACTTAAACACGTATACACCATCACACATAACATACCACAATCTCTACTGATATATACACACACGTTCATACTTAAACACGTATACACCATCACACATAACATACCACATATATATATATATATATTTATTCACGCATTTGTTCTTATCAGTTCTGTTCTTATAAAATCTGTCCTTATCAATTCATATCTCATTCATCGTATATTTATATATATATATATACACACACATGTATAATAACGTATATATATGTAGTAACCCGAAAAAAAATGAAGGAAACGACGTCGTTTTAAGAGGAGGGAGTGGATGGTTGGGATGAGTTGAGATGGACGGGCAGGATGAGAAGCAAGTGAGATATAAATAGGAGAAGAGAAAAAAAAAAGAAAAGAGAAAAGAGAAAAAAAAAAGGAGGGAAGAAAAAGAAAAAGAGAAAACAGAGAAGAGAGAGAGCGGGGAGGAGAAAGAAGGTTCGAGAAAGAGAGAAAGAGAGGAGCTGAAGCGAAAAGGAACGAGAAGGAAGAGAGAAGAAGAAATAGGACAGTGACAGTACGAGCAACGGGAGGAAGAAAGATGGAAATGGGAGGTACGGTAATCTTAAGTTTCATATGTGGTGGTGTGGATTTGAGATTGTAGTTTTAGTTGAGAAATATGGTTTTATTTGAGATGTAGAGTAGAAGACGATGATTCAGGGAACAGACAGGTGTGGATGGTAGGTGGGAGTATGAAAGAGTGAAGGATGTTCATGGAGGAGATCGCAGGAGGAGAGAGAGGGAGGAATACGGTGTGAGTGAGGTCTGTGAGAGAGAGGATTGTGATTGTGAGTAGGAATACTTAGAGTAGGCCACGGGAAGAGGAAGGATGAGGAAGGAGAGAGTGAGATTCATGTGAGAAAGGAGACCTTGAGTGAATATGAGTGGCGGTATACGGAGGAGGCTGAGGAGGAAGAGAGAGGAAGTGCGATGTGTGAGTGAGGTTCGTGAAAGAGAGGAGATTTGTGTGAGTACACATGAAGGAGGCCGCAGGTGGAGAGAGAAGGAGGAATACGGTGTGAGTAAGGTCCGTGGGAGAGAGGAATGTGATTGTGAGTAGGAATACTTAGAGTAGGCCGCAGGAAGAGGGAGAATGAGGAGTTCTGTGAGAGAACAGAATTGGTGTAAAAGAAGAAATGTTGTGTGGTTGTGAGTAGAGGTAGGAGGGAGTGTGTGAATGCTGGAAAATTAGAGAGTAAGAAAGGAAGGTCTGTAGGGTGGGGGTGTGAGGTGTGGTGTAGCTGTGTGGTGTGAATTACATATAGGTTGATATAACTGCTGTAAATTTAGTGGTTGACAAAGGGACATTGCTGTTGTGTGCTTGTTAAATGTTAGTGGGTATCCTATAGGGGGATGCCGATATTGGTTGTCATTACTAGAGGGAGTAAGTGATCGCCGATAGTGGTGATAGTCGGGAGACCCTGACGGATAGGGGGTTGGATCGCCGATATTGGTGACA